AGCCAGCCGTGCTGGGTAGGATTTGAGTGTTTCGGTGTGGTTGGGGATCCGGAGGCAACGCTCTTGCCCCTGCCAGAGGGACCAGTCCCAGAGCAGGGGACAGCCCTGTGCACAAAGAGCGCGTCCCGCTCGGCTCGGATCCGCTGCTGAGGATGCTCTGCTCGCTTCCAGTCGTGGTTCTGCTGGAGGGGAGGGTCTGTATCGCCCAGCTCTTGCCACCTGCAGGCACAGGCTGAGGAAATCTCTCCCTTTTCTTTTTATTCCCCCTCCCAGATCTTGCAGCGGGTTGAGGACAACACGATCATCTCGTACGACGTGGCAGCCGGGGCCGCGGGCGGGGTCGTTTCCCCAAGGTCAGTTTATTCCACTGTCTGTTTTGTACCAAGCCCTGAACACCCTCCTGAAATACAGAGAGAAGCACCTGAGGCAGTGGGAGCCCCTGTCCTGCCCCGCCCCTGCCACTCCCCACAGCTCTGGGAGCTCCTGGTGCCAACACAGTGCCGGCTCTGGGGGTAACACTCCACAGGGCAAGGCGCCCTAAAATCTCCTCTGGGTGTTTCTGGCAGGAGACTCAGAGCTCAGAAACCCCTTGGTCGGTGTCCCCGCTAGCAGTGCTGGGCTGGGCTTTGTCCATGTGCTGGCACAGCTCCCTGGGAGCCCTTCCCAGCACCCCCAAGGGCAGGAGCTGCTCCCCCAAACTCCCGGGCTCGCTCTAACGCGGTGGGGGCCCTGTCTGTGCTCAGGGATTTTGTGAACGTGCGGCGGATCGAGAGGAGAAGAGACAGGTACATTTCCTCAGGGATGTCGACCACGCACAGCCTGAAGCCTCCGCTCACCAAGTATGTCAGGTAAGAGACAGGTTCTGGGTGGTTTATTTTCCAGCATCTGACACACGCACTTTGCTGAAGCTTAGGGCAAAGAGCCACTTCTCCGAACCCCTGCTGCCTTCCTGGCAGCGACTGCAGGAAACAGATCTATTTGTGGAACCAAACCTTGCTTCCCTTGTTCTTCTCCCTTTGTTGAAGAACCTCTCTCTGCTGTCCAGCACTGCTTGGGCGTTGCCCAGCTCTGCTCAGGGGAGTGGAGGTGCCGACCAGTAACAGCACAAACCCCGTCCCGGCCCGCATCCTGTTTATGTAACAGCTAATTCCCAAACAGGGCCAGCTGCCATTTCTGAGGGCAGCAAACAGCTGAGTGGGGCTCGCTCGGAGCCTCTCGGATGCCTTGTGCTTCTCGTAAGCTTGGTCACTTGCTGATTTTAAAAGCTGAGGGCATTGAGAGGCAGTCCCGTGGGTGAAACGAGCTGCGTCAGGGCGGGCTGGCTCCCCGAGTGCTGCCAGGTCCTCGGCCTCTCCCTCTCCGAAGGGACAGCTCTGCCTGGCTGCTGATGGATCTCAGAGGGGTTGTTCTCCTCAAACAAGGACTCGTTGTTGCTGTCCGTGCTGGTGCCCGGGGCCCAGCTGTGCCACTGCACGAGCTGACTTTGTTTTTCCTAATAATCTGGTTAAAGTAATTGACATTTTAACTCGGAGCCGTTTGAGCTGCCTCGGTCTATTTAAGAGACTTCGGGGGCCTAGAAAAAATCTCTTTTACAAACATAGGCAGGAAAAAATAGCGTGTTCCTGAGCAGGGAAGGGAAATCTGTGTTTGGGCTGTGCGTGCGAGCACGGCTCTTGTCTCAGATGGTGTGAGGAGGGGGCTGGGGGCTGTGGTGACAGGACTTCCCGTGCCCACCCTGTCCCGGGCGTTCCTGGGGCATCTCAGCTGTACCCGTCTCCACAGGGCTGT